GGTGCTCGTCACGTGTTTCTCTTTGTCCCGTGTGCCTCTTTCCATGTAAACGTCTGCTACCCTAGAACCAAAAATATGGCGTATTTCTTCTTCCTTAACCAACGTTTGAAAACCCGAAGAAAACCTATGCGCTTATGTATGTAGCGTTGGGTACGACAACACCCGAGGTCTTTGTCCTCGACTTTGGATTCTCCTCTGAAGTTCTTTCACACATCCCCACGCGTTTTTCCGTCCGGCTTATCTAATCATCCGCCTCTCACCCGCACTTTTTCTTTTTCTTTTTCTTTTTCATTTCCTCAAAACATCAAGCAGGAGTACAACGCGCGGAAGCACGGCGAGACTTTCCTCAAGTCGCTGGCGCACGACCGAGCGGAAATTTCCTGCGTCGACCCCGCGACGTACTGTCAGCGATTCAACGACTTCCTCGAGCGACACACGGATTAGATGTTTACCATATCATTTTTTTTTTTTTATCACCATGAAATAGTTCAACTGTTTAGGTATTCCTTGTTGTCAGTGTTGTCTTTCCAACGAGTAGCAGCAAGCAAGCAGGGTGTGTGCAATATCCAGAGATGATGATTCTGTGTGTGAATTACTTGTATCGTTTTGTGTGTGTGTGATTTGCGTTCTTTATAAAAACATGATACTGCTGCTGTACCTGTCTGTGGTAGCTCTGCTTGTTGTTTTGCTTTGCGGAGAGAGCGAGCGAGAGAGAAAGAGAGCGGCGGTTTTGGTGCGATCCTTTTGTCTTTCACGAGAGGAAATGGTTACCCCTCCAGGCGTTTTGTACTTGATGGGGTCTCCGCAGATTGCGTTGTTTGCAATGCGTCACCACCAACGTTCTCGATATAGACGGGGGGCATTGATGTAGTGGATGGATAGAACTATGTATTTTTCTTTTTAACACGCTCCTGCTTTTTGTGTTGGGCACGTTTTTTGCGACGTATTCCTCCAGCCCGCTCATGAAGTTTCGCACAACATGAGCTCCAGCCCGACAAGAGGCGAAGGTCTATATAGCACGCATCTTGAACCTCGTGCGTCTTGCTTGGAGGGCCGACGCTGATGTGTGTGCCGGCGGGCGTTGATATGGCGCCACGTACGTACGTGCCGGTTCTTCTTTGGAGGGGGTAGTAGTAGGGTGTGGTGATGGTGATGGTGATGGTGGTTGAGGTTGTGGGTGGTGTTCTCACTCCAATAGGTCAGCTCGTTTTCAAACAATTCCTTCCGATTCTTTGGGGACGTTCTGGACACAGAAGCACGAAAAAACACCAAGCTGAGCTATTTTTTGTTCCCCCATGATGAGTCAGTCCTAGGCGGGAGAGGAGAAGGAGGACGAGGTGTGTGTAGATAACGCGTGGAGGTGACTGCGGACGGCGACCGCCACTGTATACGTCCCATTCACCCGGTCGGGGTAGCAATTAGAGGAGGCGTGATCGAGAGTCCGGGGGCGTTTTAGAACGGGGGGGGGGGGTCGAGGGTTGAGCGTGTTATTTTTGTCCTTGGGTGTGCTTCCCGTGTCTTGTGTCAACTGCACCACAGTTGGCTGGCACGGTTGACCACGCGGCTCATGGATGCTGGGTAGCTTTTTTTTTGTCGGATGGTGCGTTCGAAGCACTGCTGCTGCGAGAGAGTTGGGTTTTGGAGGGAAGGGGGTGCGTAGTACAGGGCGGCAGGCAATCAATGAATCGCAGAGAACGGTGGTTTCTGTTGTGTCAGAAATTTCCTCTTTGACATCCCGCGGGGTCTCCTTGACAATATCAGTCATTCAGCTGGCGATGCGCATGTCACCGATGGTCAACGAGCTTTCGCAGCCTGGTACAAAAGGGGAAGTAAATATTGATGATCCCCAGTCGTTACGATGTGGTGACGATGAAACGCTCGTACGTCTACAGTGTACGACCCCCAAAAACCGGTGTTGTTGCGTATATACTCTGGAGCTGCTGTGGCAGACCATCTGGCTGTTTACGCGAGAAACCTGAAACCCTATCCCATGATGCGCCTCGCCCTTCGCTTCACAAAGGTTTCTTGACAATCCACGCTCACGCCAAAGAGAAGAACGCACCCCCCCCCGTATGAGGCAGGAGGTGCTTGCACCAACTACATGTACTGTGGAGCAGGCAGCCAGATGTTCTCTCTTCTTCCTCTCGAAATAGTCGACACAGATCCCTTTGCCTTTCAAGATCTCTGGCAACCCCATTTGTCACGGTGTACGACGCCCCCCACCGCCAACACACCCCTATCTTTCCCACTCTCTCGCTCTCTCTTGTTCTATGTACATGCAATCCTCGAACAAGTCGTGTTGAACCAGGGGAGGATGGACGTGATGCATTCGTTTGGTCGTGCCCAACAAATCTTGTTCACTACAGGGTCAGTAGGTTCAGTCTCAAAAGGTTGTTGTGTTGTTGTCCTCGCGCTGTTGTTGTTACAGTATTGATTTGTTGTTGTGGTTGATTGGTTGTGGTTGTCTTCACATTGATAAACCGTTCCCGATTCTGCTCAGCCAGTATCCGTACCAGAGGTCATGTCTTGTATCTGATGAGTACTAGGGCAAGAGAGGTGCACAGAGAGGCAGAGAGGGACAGCAAAGCAGTGCACATCTGCCTGCTGTGGAGAAACGGCGCAACGGCCCAACCACCGCGGAAAATTCTTCGCCGTTTCAAAAACTGATGCCCCTGTGCCCCGTACATGTACATACAGTCGAACCGCCATCTTGTCTCCACAACTCCCTTGGGATAATTGCGCCGCGTTGACATGTGCGAGCGCGCGAGCTGTTGCTGAATCATCTGCTCCGCCTTCTCCTTCTCTCTTAGCGCTACCAGTACTCTACTCCAAGCGTCGTCACTCTTATTGCTGCTGCAACGAAGAGCTCTCGTGGGCCCTGTTTGGGCAGTCTGTCGGTGTGGCGACACAAAAACAATGCGAGGTGTGTCGACAAGAGCCCTTTCTACAACCCTTGGAATCCTCGCCCTCTTCGTGTCCGCACGGCAGCAGGCCTACTGCATGCGGTGTCGTAGCACCACCGCTACAAGCGGGAGGGGGTCGTTACAGCACAGAGGGGAGCAAAGCCATCAACGCTTGACACCAACGCAGTTAGCGGTCAGAAATACGTGTCCTGGCGGGGCAACTGCATGGCTTGTCGGCCCCGGCATTGCCCCTGCGAGAGAAGCAGCAGCAGCGGGAACGGTAGCAGCAACGGTACCGTTTGCTGGCGGAGCTCTACGGATGATGGCGGAGAGCGGTGCTCCTCCGGCGAAGAAGGGGAAAGGGAAGGGGCCGTACAAAGTGATTGCCACAAACAAGTGAGTGTTACAGTAGCTCCAGCAACTGGTTGGGTTGAAGTACGTGGTAAGCGGCGAAAGGTAAAGGGAATCCACGTGTTTTTTTTTTTTTTTCTTAATATGACACAACGAATCCATCTCTATCAATCTATCAATTGAAATGACGTGAAATATTGACATTTCAGCATTTCAGGGAGTTTTGACGTGACGAGGTTACGCCGCGTTTTTGGAGGCAAACTCTGACGGCGAAATTTTTGTGAAAAAGCGTCAAAACTTAAACCGACGCGAAGAGATTGATAATTCAAATATCGCCAGACTGTGGCTCACACACGCTTGCTCTGTGCTCTGTTACCATCACCAAATCACGAAAGGAGCGCGGTCAGCAGCGCACATATTGGCCATGCCTACTGATTGCTCCTAGCGGTCCTGCACACACACGTCTCGGCAGTTCTCACGGCGGCCCAGTGGCCGGGCTCGCGTGTTCGGCTCGCGCGTTCGGTAGATGAGCCATCGCAATTGCGCACGGGCTTTCAGCAGCAAAAAGGGGCATCGGCAGTAATCAGGGGAGTCCCGCCCTCGAAGGGAGCACATATAGAGGATTAAGGGAGGGTACACGGACTTGGCCAGTCAGTAGGTGCATTTCGCCCGCCCGCTCACGGGGTTCGATGCTCTGCTGCCGCAGTGACATCGGTACACAGCAGTACAGCGAGCAGCTGCCTCACTCATCAGCAACGGCAGTTTGACGCCTGGGAAGTCGCCGCGGCAAAAGAGGGAAGGTCGGCGGGATGAGGCGGAGGGGTACACCTAGTCTCCTGGGAGCCTGGGAGTGTGAGTCTTCGCTTCAGCATGTCGACCCTGGGTGGCATCCCGAACCAACCCGGGGTCGCGAACATGACCGACGTTAACGCGTCAACTCTACACCACCAATTTTTTTTTCCCCTCCCACGTGCCAACGGGCCCACGCGGTGCGAATTTTTTCCCGTCAAAACCCTCAACCGTTACTTTATGTTGGCGTCAATCCTCAAGGGTCAAAAATGCGCGTCAATCCATAGTGGATACCCTATATTGTACGTTCAAGTATCTACAGCAGTACAGCATGTATGCATATAGGAGTTGCTGTTGTACCTTTCACGTTGAGAACCCAGAGTCACGCCGCATAAAAAACAAGAACTTTCGCTGACTCAATGGATTCATTGCTAATCTATGTTAGACTTTCTTCGGTAGAGATGGATTCGTTGGGTCATACTGATGAAATAAATAAAATTTACTCGTCGGTTTGCATACATACTGCTGCTGTAGTACCTTTTGAGAAATAATGAAATAATGGTTTTGTGGAGGTCAGGATATGGAGATTCAGGGAGCACAGATACACGTACATAAAGAGTAGGATCTGAGGGAATATGTGATAATAGATTACCGTTCTCCGAGGGTCCACGACTCTTACGATTCCCAACGGCTGCGAAGAGTTGATGAATCTTTAGGCGAATGGGAAATGGGTCCACGAAGGCTCGCCCACTCTCCACACCACCCTAGCTTGACTGAGTTCGCTCGGTCACGCTTGTCATTCCTCGCCACATTGTACCAAAAGCAAACAGCCAACCTCCGGTGGCAGGACATAGCCACCACACTCCCGGACTCTCTGCTCACCCAGAGTAGAGGACTCCATATTTTGCAAGACTCCTTTGCTGCTTCAAGTGCAGACACTCTGGAGCGTGAACCTCAATGCTTCACAGGAAAGCAAGGCGCAACTACGAGATACTTGAGAAGTTTGTGGCGGGGATAGAGCTTGTGGGCTCGGAGGTCAAGTCTTGCCGCATGTCCAAGATCAACATGGATGAAGGCTTCGCACAAGTGGGTACAATAATCACGGCGACGGTAGCGACCCCGAGCACCCCAGAAGTTACCGGATCACCCGCCCGTGATACACATGGTCACAGTGCCGAAAAGGATGGATTGGGAAATATCTCGTTGAGGGCTCTCCTTGTACGTTTCGGCCATGTCTCTCTCACCCTCTTGGTTGACATTTGTGTGGAGTGTGGAGCAATCGGTTTTAAAAACATCGCACACCCGTACGTTCTCGCCCATATGTTTACCTCTATTGGTCAAGTTTCATCCTGCTTGGTTCTGTCATTGGATCGTGTTGAACATGCCGATTCGACACGTACCCGTACACGCCCACCAGTCTCTCCTTTCAGAGGCACCGTGGACTATAACACGTCCTTGGTTCGTTTATTGCCGTTAAGCCTGACCATATTCGAAGGCCGGCCAGCTAGCTAACGCGGGCGTTGCTAGTTGTTGCAGCCAACCAACACACACTGTTGGCCCCTGTGTGACTACTCGCGTGAAACTGCTCAATGTCGCTCCACATGCATCCCCCTCGGACCCTATGTTGACTACTCGAATGAAGCTGTAGCTCCACATGCATGCACCCCACTCAGAGGCCTGAAAGGGATGTTGCAGCAATTAGTATGTTTGGCGCGGACGCTTCGTCGCCAGCAGCAGTGTGTCGGATGTCTTCCACCAATCTTGATGGAAATGGCACCGGTATGTGCACTCGTCTCCCCTTTGATCGTCGATTGCTGCTCCTTGATCGTCCAGCTTGACTTCACTGAAGCACAAATTCCCCCTCCAAAATCTGAAGATTAAAACCATGCCCCTCCTTTTCCCTCCCCTGTTGTTTCCGTGTGGAACTGGTCTACCTTCCAAGGCTAAGAAGGGGCAGTGCTTCTTGCACGGTATTCACATCGCTGAGTGCGGTGTGTCGAACCGCTTCTACCAGCACGAGCCCCGGAGACCGAGACGACTCCTCCTCCACAAGGCGAGATGAACACGACAGTCGGGAGAATTCATAGAAAATTCCATCGAGAGATAAATTCAGGAACAAATATCTATTAATAGAACTAGAAACCTCTCCCCCTCATCGATGAATATTATGGCTCTAAAGAATTGTTCAAGATAACTCTCTCACATCGTTGACCTGCTCCCTATAATGAACATCACTGTCCGCGGGTTGCCTATGCTACCCTCGTCATTCCGTTCTAAGATTTCTTCACACCTGGTTGGTCAGTTGGTTTGCCGTGTTTTTTCTTTACTTTCTTTTCGAGATTCTCGTCTTGCACACCACCTCCAACGTTGAGATGACCTCGAGCTTACCTTTGGCTATGGAGCACTCGAGGGTAAAAGGTGACCTTACCTCCACGGGACCGTCAACGCTTGGCCCTTCACTCCCGGTCTTTTTTTTTTTCGTTCGTCATCACGATGCTTGTATTTTGGCTTCCGATCTATCGGAATCTCAGCGTGAGATTAAGAAGCTCGAAGACAAGGTGGCGCAGAAGGGCATGACCGTCGTTCCTCTCAAGATCTTCTTCGACGATAACAACAGGTGAGGCAGAAAAACAAAGGTTGAAATCGCCTCGGTGTCTGTGTGTACCTTTCTTTTAACTAGCGTCGACCGCGCTAACCGGCCGACCAATGAAAAGACGTCAGTCTCGAAGCGGGGCAATAAACGCAAACGAATACGCTTTCTAGTCCGCGGACTCCCCCGGCTGGAGAGTCGCACCACGAGGTTGCACGACAGGGTAGTCTTGGATTGTGTCTCTTTATGTATCATCCCATTCATCCTGAACATCGATATTTACACTGTTTGGGCATACCAACCTGGGTGGCACAGGAAGGTAAACACGGGAGTGTTTGCAAACACAGCAACACAGGAGTGTTTGCCCAACACAGCAACGCAGGGGAGTCTTCGCAACCCAGGATTTTTTTTTTTGTGTTTGTGGTTGATGTCTTTGCATATTCCTTTGCGATGCTTTTCAAGTTTATCGGGACAAAGGACCCAGCCATTTTTTTTCGAAGTCGAATCGTGAGATGTATTTCCCGACTTTATTCATGGAACGAGAAAGTCCACAATCCCTCGTTCCGTGCTGTATGTACAAACGTATGGCAGCAGGATTAGGACGACCTTGAAGGGCCAATGTTTGACCTGGAAGGCATAACACTGTACGCGCTTGAGACGCATAAAACTGACCTATATCTTTGGGTCGCCACTGACCACTCTAGCTCACGGATCAGTTACCGCAAACGCTTCCCTCCCGGAAGACCCCGCCTACCTTTGACCCACCACACACCCCACTTCCCCGTTGATCTCCGCCGCCGACCCCCCTTCGTTTGGTTGATTTTCCTGGAAGCATGATGCGGGACGTTTATTCTCAGGAATAAAAACCCCGTTGTCACGTCCGATCGGAATGACTGGTGGTCAATGATATCCGAAACCGTGTGTGGTCGTCAACGATGGATACTATAGTTCTATACTGGTACGGCGTAAGGAGTATCTGCTCAACGATGAATGAAGTAGCTCAATGTAGCAAAGCGAAGTAGTGCATCTATTCTAAGCCCGACTCTACCCACCACTCGCTTTACGGAATATTGACCCCTTTTGTGGTCAGGTTGAAGGTGGAGATAGGGCTAGCCCTAGGGAAGAACGTTCGGGATAAGAGAGAAGACATCAAGGCCCGAGACGCCAAGCGAGACATTCAGCGAATATCGAAGAACGCCTACTAGGGGAGTCCGGATTACAGCGAGAGAGCACACACCGGGCGTTGAGCGAATAGTGGCGCTGGAATATATACGTGCGGTTTTTATACGCTGTCTTGTACTTGGGGAGTGACGGCGGGGTTGCGGGGGGCAAAGTGTGAAAGGCACTCGGTTGACCGGAAAAGGTTAGGTGGGTCGTGTCGAACGTGGCGTAGAAGGGCGCACCGTCGCACGGCTTTCGAGCTCGGACGCTGGTTGGTTTGGTGTGGACTTCGCGCACGACTACTGTATCGACCGTTGTATGCATTGAGTTGGCAATGTACGAACAGCATGCGGGCGGTAGATGGAAGCACGCTGTTGTTCATCCTGTTGCGGTCTATTGCTTCTCGTAGAGTTTGCCGAGAGCATCGGCGACGATGAAGTTCTTCAGCAGCAGCAGCAGCAGCAGCAGCCACACAGCAGCGCATAAAGCTGACGCGGGAGAAGAGCGAGGCACCCAGGCACTCGGAATAGTAATAATAGTTGTTGCGCTCGAACCGGTTCCCTCTTGTAGGGTGTATGGCACCGCCTTGATCGTAACTTCTTGCTTCCTCCCCATGGTAAACGTATCCCCACCGTTCACCCCCGAACGTTAACAATGACGGAATGGATATCGCCATGGATATACCCGAGGACGACGGACTCGCAAGTGAGGCTGCCGAGTAACTGTGCTCGGAGGTTTGCCGCCGTCGCTCCACAGCAGTTTCCAATCGTCCCAACCGCCGGTAACGTCCACTACTACGCGGATATTGGCTCTGCTGTGTCCTCCGAGCCATCTTCTTGCCCCCCCCTCATCTTGGGATCGATCGTGTTGCACGCGGTATCGGCGGCGGGTGTACGAGATCCTTGCCTCTCTCTCTCTCTGCGGCTCCCGCTGATCATTGAAGTGGGGTCTCCCCGCAACCTCTCAATAACACATTCTGCTGTACACCCAGGTGGCTGTTGCTGTACACCCAGGTGGCTGTTGTAACTGGCGCCCAACCTCCCCCGGGTCAGGTTGGGATGTTGGGATCGACCTTGGACAACATTTAGTCGACGCTGCCAGTCCGCCTCGATTGATTGGACCAACGCCGCATTCCGTGATGCGGGGCTAGCTGCATACGTCGGCGTACAACCCGACCCTAGGGAGGTTGTGGGGAGGTTGTGCACCAGATAGATAGATACAACCTGCCTTTTGGCCACCCGTTACTTGTTGGCCTGGCTGGCTGTCCCTCCGGCCTCCTCCCGCCTGGATTAACCCGCCGTTCTTTCTTTCAGGTGCCAGGCCCCTTCTCATCATCATGCCAGCCACACGGCGCGTCAGGAAAGAAGAGTGTGTCTCTTGTCCAGCGACGACACACATGCTTCCACCTGCGTGTGCGGTGAACCTCTGTCGGCTATCACCGCCCTGACTGCCTTGCACGTGGTGGACGAAAAGTAAACCCGTTCATCGTTTTTTTATTTTTTTGACGTGTTTTCCCTTATTTCTCGGGATATCTCCCGCTTCTCCAGGCATTTGTTGCAGTACTTCCTGGATTCGCACCATGCCATTGAGCTTGTGTGCTTCCTCTACAGGCTGGTGCAAGCTGCTTCCTTGATAAAGCTCCGCTTCCCATCTTCCTTCCCACGACGATAGACAGCAGTACTGCTGCGTAGTGTAGTAGCGATGACGACATTGATTGATGGATTGCTGGCTGCGGAGTTTGTTTTGCCCGGTTGCATCTCCCGCCGCTCAGCACATCTAAATTTGTTTCTCGTCCGATCTCTTGCTTTGAACTGCATGATAGATAGTCTATAGCCGGCAGAGTGGTTGATTTCCAACCCATCGCACTTCAGCACTTTGGAGCGCGCCCGCCCACATTGACCTGCCAAGCAACAAGTTGAGCCGGTGGTGTTGTTTGCTGTTCGTTCATGATGGGTGGATACTGCTGCTGCTGCTTGCTGCAGGGCCAATAATACCCCCGCCCCTCCTCCTCCTCTTCTGCCTCCCTCCACGTTCTTGTGCATGCCCACGCTGTGTCCAACCCCTCTGATACTCCAACCTAAGCTTTGCCCCCAACGCGCTCTCCTCTGGTGCAGCTCGGCTCTCCGGCGTCCATTTCCAGAGCCTCTTGATAGCTATGGGTGTGCTTATGCGGTTGTTGTGTGCGGCAGCAAATGACGAAAACATGCGTGTTGTTCCGCGGAGCCCAACGGCCATCTCACAAACCATCATCCCGTGCAGCTTTCGGCTGGTCCAGATTACTTCTCCCAGGCTTGGCCTGTACTATAGTGTATGGCGTGGTCTGCGGGTGGTCCACGAACACTGCTGTGCTGATGGCCTAGATGCACACTACCTCGAGAGCCATCAAAGAGCCGTGCGATTTCATAGTCCACCGCGGTCAGCAAGGTTAGAAGTTTTAGTTTCCCCGCGCATGTGGTAGTACTGCTTCTTGACGACGCCACTCTGTTTCTCGCTCCCCCGCTCTCTCCCCCTTGTTGGACCACTGCTGCCTGTTCGGTGTTTTCGCAAAGCAAAGGTCTTTTTTCTTCCAAGTGTTTTTTGGAGACCCCCCCAGCACACCCCACGCAGCAGCGGGAAAGGGCAAACAGCGGCAGCAGCAGCAGCAGCAGCAGCAGCAGCAGCAGCAGCAGAGCTTTTAGCTCAAAGATATCAACCATCCCTATCGCGCGCCCCAGGAGGCGGCTGCTTGGGATCGGAAGCGGGGAGGGGAGAGGGAGCCTGGCTGTTGGAAAAAGGCGGAGGAAGGCGGCGCTGCAATTGGGAGTCGTTGTTCCTCTGCCATCAAAAGACAGGGAGGCAGGGAGGAGTGAAAGAGAGGTGAGAACAGCAGCAGTAGCTTTGGCTATCTCTGAGTGTGCATTCATTTCTGCGAGCTCTTTCGTGTGTTTCACCATGGGTTTGGTGCCCGCGTTCTGCTGCTCTACCTGAAGCGGTGTAGCACAGCACCAACAAGGACCCTCGAGGCTGTATGCCGGCTTCTGTGTTCCTTTATGGCTGGCGTGATGCATGTTAGCGATTAGCGATGATGGACCATGATGATACGCCGATTGTTGGCGGCAGCGATACGCACAGCAGAGGACAGACAGACAGGCACCAAAGGGATGGGATCGTACTCCACTGGGGTAGCGCTGCAGCAGGTTACTCGAGTAGGTGGTGTCGGCGTGCCTTTTTCAGCTCTCTTACACATGGTCGGCGCAAGGCGCAGCAACAGCAGCAGTCCTCGCAACGAACAACCGCACACACATCACCCCCCCACCTTGCGACAGCAAATCGGAAGGCCTAACGTCAACATGATCGTTGAGTTTTATGTCCATGGATGCGTGTGTGTGTGCCGGTTGTGTGTGTGCTGCCGTGGAGGCCCAACGCAAGAGAGATGGACGACGGCAACTACCCCCGGCGTGTCCGCGCCGCCACTCACAGAAGCATGTGTACCTCCTCCCCTCAATCACATCATGGCTTGCGGGACCTGTATGTACATGAAAACCCGAGCGTGTGTGAGAGACCGCTTGTCGGCACCGGCAGCGTTTGCATTTTATGGTAACCCTCTCGAGCGGTGGCTTGATCAACCAAATCAGATGCTGCTCCCCTGCACCGGTCTGCAGCACACGGGAGAAAGCTTTATTGCTGACTGAGAGTGTGAGAAGAATGGTGCTGTGTGGGCTGGATGTGCTGCTTTGCTGTAGCCCCAACCATACACCCACCGCCGTGTTACATGTACACTGGTTTACTATACGACCCGCAGACTTTTTTCAGCAGACTTGCGCACAGGGTGCGTTGCCTACATGGAAGTATACTTTGGCTGACGATCATGTAGGCACTCCGGGATGCCGGTGGTCTCGGAGTCTCCCCGTTGTTTGCAGACACGCGCTACGACAGCAGTATCCAGTGGGGGCAGGCATCGCTGTTGTTGTTGTTGCTGTTTTTTGTTGTTGTCCTCGCGCAAATGCGTGTCGCTACATACTATATTTGAAAAAAAACAATTGTGCTCCTCCCATCTACTCCATGGTTTAGTGTATTTTGTGTTTTGTGGATGTGCGGCGACCGCTCGTGCGTGAGCCGTAGTTAGACACCGACCGCGCTTCTTCTTTGATGACCGCCTGAGACCTGAGACCCAAACGTATGTATTCATACAAGGTGTTCGCCGCCTAGTTGGTGTGTGCGTTGGTCTTGAAAAAGTGGGTCTTTATATATGTCGGAGCACAGCGGCAGTAGTTCGATGCGGGGACTAAAATAGGTACGGTAGGCAAAAGGGTGGCGGCGGGCCGCAGCTCTGCTCGCGGCAGCGCATCCTGTTGTCCTAATTTCAGCGGCGAGGGACCGAGGGCTTTGAGGTCGGGTACCCTCCCCCACGTTCTGTGTTGCTCACGAACGACCAAACCGCGCCGGCAGCAGCAGAGTGCTCTACACCTATATGTAGAATGCGGGTGCATCCGTACAATCAAACAATTGTCCAAGTTCTACCGGCCGGCCGGAGTGTGGAGGGGCAATGCGAGAGAGCTTGCTTCGTTTCCGACATTATTCTCTCAGTAGATGGTCTGTATTTTTCGACTGCTGTGGGTTAATATCTCGAATGGGTAGTTTTTCTGCGTGTGTATTTGGTCTGTATTGGCATTACCGGGGCGACTGCTGTTTAGCTCTCTCTGCCGACAGTAATAGTGTGCTCGCGTCGTAGATGCCTCTTATCAGAGGGCACGTTACCGAACGCACCAATCATGACCCGTATTCCCACATCGACGGCAATACTGCACCAGAAACGGCATTGTGTCCACGAAAAACCGCAACTGCTACCGCGGCGGGTAGTAGGCGGGTAGCATACCGTGATTATTGGAAGTAATTATTTCCTTTTCGCACCCATCCGGAGGGCAATCAATGCCTGCACACATCAGTCAATAATGTTCGCGTTTTTTTTTTTTTTTGCGGAGAGTGTGGACGTAAATGTCTCACGATGGCTTGCGATCTTGCGATAGCTTCCGCGCGGCACAGGCACCACTTTTAAATACTGCTGTATCTCTTGATTTTTCGCGGCCTGTGTTTCTTTCTTTCCCACCCTGCTGTGCACGTCAGTATTATAGCACGCCACCAGACACCTTTCTTGTGTTGCGAATATTGTAGGGCCTGGTCGTTTCGCCCGCGGGATATATTCCCAACGCACACTTCTCTACGGTAACTTCGTAGTACGCTACGCTACAGCAAGCACGACCGCGATATCACAAGTTCTTTTGCATATTGTAGGCGACGAAAGGTCTAAACAAGTGTTCGCGAAGGGTAACATACCCACGCGATTCAATCAGTACGACGACAACAGCGGCATCAGTTATTAGCCCCAAGTTCCCGGCTTTGTGGTATGCACTTGTACATATGCGGGCCCTCTTTTGTTGTGTTCGTGTTCTTGAGGTCCGCCTGCTGAGGTTCCCACCCCCACCGGTACCGCCGTGCAAAACAGAAGACGTGGATCTAGCGTAGCATATAGTGCCGTATCCAGTAAGATGTTGACAGCAGATGCTGTCTGGTCCTCGCCCTTGGAGCCTACCACCAGAACAAGGAACAACATTGGTGGAGATTAATTATCGTGGCATGTCTTGCCACATCTAGCATACCGCTCTGGAGGTAAAACGATTCATTCAGTGCAAATGGAGATATATTGTGTTCGTATAATAAGCACAACAGAACCGAGCCGGTTTCCGGTTTCCCTCCATTCACTGCAAAGATTAAGATTCCAACACATCCCCGTTCGACTGCGATTGGTTATATCTCGAATCGGTATTGTATCCTTCCTGTGATTATATTTATTTTTCCTAATATCCCTCTGACCAAAGACGACGTTATTCCGAAATCTTGTGATGGTTGTCTTGGTGGTGCGGTAGTGGGAAGCGTCCCGAGTCCGCTGTACCCAGATGTTCAGTATCATTGTCCGCGATCGGGTGAGAATTCATGTCGACAAGAAGACTGGAAAATTTTGTCGTGAAATGAGTAGACAAGAACACGATCGATCCAGTTTGTTTGGATAAAGGAGGACTGGTGGTGTATTTTTTGGTGGAGGCAAGGGGAGGAGTATTTTTGGATGGGGGGGGGGGAAGAGGGGGTCGTTGTAGGTGCGATATTTCTGGTGTATCCACCCTCATCACAGGATCAACAGCGGTATGGTTGTTGTTGTTGTTGTTGTTGGTGTCTTCACATTATTAGTAGCATCTATCTGTCCATGGACAGCTCATGAAATGTGCGGTGCAACGCCGCCATTTTCCGTGTACCATGTGGATACATCATTCATTTTTTTATTTTTCTTAATATGACACAACGAATCCATCTCTCTCTATCATAGAAAAAGAGTCTGAGACAGATTATTAGCAATGAATTCATAGCATTCATTTTGTTTTCTTTTTCCTAGTGGTTGGGTTTGTACTCTATTCTTGTTTTGCTTCCCCGCGGCGTCGTTTGTGCCGGGTTTTGCGACCATTGACCACGGGCTCCCCATTTTTGTGGACCATACAGAGCTAATGTGAGAGAAACAACAAAAACAAACATTTCTCGCTACAGCCACACACCGCTGAAAAGCTCTAAGTCTTGATTAAATCCATCCCGGATTGCGGTATCTATTCAGTGTTGCTCTGATTGCATGTTGGTGTACCATGTTGTTTGGAGTATGTATCAAGCAGAAGCATCAAGCAGAAGCAGTAGCACATGTCGACGAAACAGTGTCGTCGAAATGCCTTGAGCGTCGAACTTGCAGGCCACAACACGCGTTCGCAATGAATGGTTGCATCGAGCACCATCAGCTCATGGCCTCGCCAAATTTTGCTCATTCGCGAAAAGAAGAACGGTGACCAAAAGTTGCCGACTTTCCCCTCTCACCAGCAGGGTGCGTGCTGCCTTGGGAGTGCTGTTGCTCAAACCGCTTTGCGTGTCCCGGATTGGTACTTGCACAACGTATGTCTTGATACCGCACATCACCGCCTATCTATCCCCCTGGTCCTTCAGCAGTAGTAGCCTTGGCAGGTTTTTTTCATCCAGGAAACATCGCAGGTCTTGTGGAAGCATGTTTTTTTTATTCAGGAAACATCTTGGATAAAGAATAAACTCGGGAAAGTTGGGTTAGGGTTGGGGAATAGGGTCTGCGTTCCCCCTCCTTGTTCTATTTCCTTATAATACTGAGTATCCCGCGAAGAAGGTGGTCCTCCTCCAGTAGAGGGCCATCCACACTTACTTTATGGCGCAACAAAAAGGGGCCGCATTCATTCGCGAAGATTTTGTTCTCAATCTGTGAGTGAGATAGAGAGGACTTTATTCTCAATCTGTGAGTGAGATCGAGAGGATTTTATTCTCAATGTGTGAGATAGAGAGGGGGGTTCGTATCCCTATCCCTAGCCCCAACCCCCCATCCCCACCCCGCACCCCCGACGGAAACTAAGATTGGTATCCTCCCGAAGGCGACTGAAAAACGTCGAGGCGTAAGCGGTAATCTCCCCCATGTGGATCCCACCAAGAACAACACTGCTGCTGCGTGTGTCCTAATAATAACTGGGCGAATACCCCACCCAACCTACCTTGGCACGTACGGCCAATGCACCAACCTCACTCAACCCCGCGTAGGGCTACGGCAGTGCCGGCCCGCTCGTAAGAAATATGTTCGACACCGTGGCTACGATGTTGGACGAACTGACGAGGAATAAATGCCCTGAGAAATTGAGCATAGCGGCCGGCGCTACATTGATTCGTGCACACAATATGTAGAAGCCTCTGCTCAGTGGTGGAAACAAGATACAGTATAGTTTGAGCCTCGCTCAAAACAGGCATTTCTTATGAGCGGGCCGGCACGGTACAGCAGCAATGACCTCACAACTCTCGGTTCGTTGGGCGTGGGGTTGATTGAGGTACTGGAGGATTGAACCAGGGCGGAACCGTAGGTCCACACCCCGTGAATCGATGCTCAAAGGTCAGTTACTACTCCACGAACGAGAGTTCTGATGCATGCGTCAACGGAAAGCTCACGACGAGACGATTCGCACGCCGCCATTATCTGCATTGCCACTCTCTGTGCTGTGGATCCGAGCTTCGAGCAACGGTCCACATCTTGCTTCACCGTGGGTGTCTGACGCACCAGTTTTTATTGTCAGTAGGCGTACTACGATACACCAAGCTAGTTTTTTCGCCAGTGTGGAAAGCACTCCCCCTTCTGGCCCTCTCTTCCGACCTCTCGTGCCGCAGCTGCAGGAGCAATACGAAGGACCATTTGTCGTAGGCCGGAGGGGGTGACCGGACCTACCATCAATCATGTTCGGCCGCAAGCGCGGGGCGAAGGCGAGCAGGGGTGCGAGCAAGGGTAACGCGAAGGCGAAGAAGGCGGTGAAACGCCTCCTCGAGAAACCCGGGCCGGAGAGGATGGCGGTCTTGGCGAACCTCGCCGCCGCCGAGAATTTGCACCCCTTCAACGTGAGGTCCCCCGTGTAGCCTCCACAGTTTTTTTTTTTTTTTCTATCGAGTAAACATGTTGCATGATGAAGCGTGCAGTCGGGGAAGTTGGGTTGGGGATAGGGATATAGGGTCTGCGTACCCGCTCCCTGTTCTTTTTTCCCTCATAGAGGATATTAAGCGGTTGTCTCTTGTGAAGTGCTTCGTTGCCCTCTAGTGAAATAGAGAGCGACGGCTTTTATGCACTTCACCTTTCCACCCGTAACCCCTAGTAGAGCGGCATTCCCTCGCGACGGCTGCTGACGTCAGCCGAACCACCGTAGGTTTCGTTACGTAAGATACCACACCCCCTGGATCGGTTTTTCGGAGCTCCATGTACTCTGCAGCCCAATGCAACCAATGGCGGTCTTGCGAGAGGATTCCGAAGAATTACATCATTTTTGTACGGCTGAGTGGCAACTCTTCCTCGTTGTTGAGTAGTCAGGCTTTGAGAATCGGTCCAGAGGGTTGTGGTGTCTCATGGTACCTACGGTATCAACATGCAGTTTATTTTGGTGCTGTATCCGTGGGTAGAGAGTTTTTTTCTTCTCTTTTTATGATACAACGAATCCATCTCTATCCCGTAGAAATAGGAGTTTTTCTTTTTTTTTTTGGTGCCTTGCTCACCCGCTGTGCGTCTCCCGGGGAATAGGGGTTAGTTTTCTTGTAACAGTCCGTGAGGCTACATTTGCGCGTGTGCACGTTGTGCGTACTGAGGTGTATAGAGCATTGAGGACGTTTATTTGCGTGGGCTGGTATCGGCGTGCGTGTGTGTGGTTGGGTTGGGTTCGTCCAACTTGTTCCGGTACACATTTCTGACGCATCTCACGGAAGGAAGGTCACACAGGAGCTATTTTGTTTTATCGTGGGCCCTCATTTCCCTCCTGCGATGCTCGCCTTACCTGTTGTTTCGAGAAGGTAGTGGTGGGGATTTGTAGTGGAACCTTCAACAGTTTTTCCCTTCTGCGCTGCTCCCCTTAGTTATTGTTTCGATAAGGTGGCGGTGGTGGTGGGGATGAATAGTGGACCGTTCACCAACTTTTACCCCAACAACAAGAAGAACGGTATCTGACAACGAGAACGTCTCTCCAACAGGGTTCTGCGTTAGGAGAGGCGGATGCCTGTAACGCGGTGGCGACGGTGATGTCGATGTTCCCGGAGCACAGGCAGGTGCAGGTGGAGGCTTGCCGAGCCGTGGAGGCCTTGGCGGACGGCACTGAGGAGAACGTTCAGCTACTGGGCGAAGCCGTGAGTTTGTGTGTGTGTGTGTGTGTGTGTGTATGTGTATAGGTGTGTGTCCTCTCTCTCTCTCTCTCTCTCTCTCTCTCTCTCTCTCTCTCTCTCTCTCTCTCTCTCTCTCTCTCTCTCTCGCTGTCTCTGTCTCTCTCTGTCTCTCTCTCTCTCTCTCTCGCTGTCTCTCTCTCTCTGTCTCTTTCGCCCTCCCTCTCGCTCTATTTCTCTCTCTCTCTCGGTGCCTCGCTCTCTCTCGATCGTGTTTGTCCTTGCTGGTTGTTGTCTTGAGCGTGCCGATTGTTGCATGAGTGTTCCCGTTCCCATTTTGCCAACTCGCCCCGGGATCGCTGCCACCTCGTCGAGAAAAGCATGTACTGCTGGTAGTAGCAGTCGTCGTCCGCATACGCTTCATGTCCTCTCGCACGGCTAACTGCTGTGTCTGTAGAGTCTTCTTCGTGATCCCCACCGCGTGTTTCTCCAGATTTACTGTCAGCCGCCGAGGAAAGCATGTGTTACTGCTGTAGCTGTCGCAGTCAGCACACGTTTCCCATCCTCTCGCACGCTGCTGCTGTGTGATTGTCGCGGCCTCGTCGCTCCCCGCCCCCTTTTGTACAGAACTGCTGCCACCTCGTGGAGAAAGCGCTGGAAAGGTTTCCTAATGATGCCAGCATTCAGACGCAGGGGTGCCGGGCGGTAACCAACCTTTTCAGCGGGGAAGAGAACATCAGAAAAGTGAGTGTCGTCCCGTTTCGCCATTCCTTTTCTTTGTTTTCCACGGCGCCAGGAAAACTTCGTATTTGCTAAAATTCACGCCGGTTGACATCCTACGTGAACAAATACGAACGCATTTTGGTATTAAGTACTTTTCCTTGGTTTAATGCAATGATACTTGAGAGAATATCGGGAGAATGCCAACGAAAGAGGCGATGTGAATATATATATATTTTTCCGTCGTCCGGTACGCTGTAGAGAGAGAAACCAAGTGGGAATACCCAAGCATTTGCTTGAAACAATATGAACCTGCACCCTTTTTTGCACGTACCCCGAGTCCCGAGGCCGAGGGGATATTTCCGTTCTCCTCCCCGCCCCCCGCGTATGGGCGCACGTAAAAAATGTAATTGCACTCAGTTCAAGCATCACCAAAATCCGTTCGTATATTTGTGTATTTTTTTCTTTTTTGTAAGCTTGGGCAAGGCCGGGCCTGCGAGCTGGTGACGGAGGCATTGCGGAGCTTTCCCATGGACCACGATGTGCAGATCGAAGCCTGCGGAGCCGTGGCCAACCTCGCCAACAACAGCAAGAGCAACCGGATCAAGCTGGGACGGTGAGAGGGAGGGGTGTCGTGTATCAATTTGGAGGGAAGGGGTGGGTGCGGCGGCGGTCGGCCGTAAGGGGGAAAGCTGGGACGGTCAGCGAGGGGTGTGCTGTCCAAGAGGTTTTGGTGCGGTGGGCCGTACGCGGGGGGGGGGGGGGGGGGGGGGGGGGGCTTTTTTTAACCCC